GTGGTGGTGGTGACCATGCCCACATTAGAAGTTCTGGCAGCTGCAGTACTACTCGTGCCTGCATTCGAACTACGTGTAAATGCCCTCTTGGGCTGTTCCCTGTCTTGGTCAATCTGACCTTGCTTCATAACGTCCTCAATCTGTACCCCAATCTCATGTAAGTCCGCAAACGTGGGGAGGGGTAAGACGATCATTTTCTGCATCAGCTTGGGTTGGAGGTTGCGCACAACCATTCTTATCTAATCCTTCTCCAATGGCCGAGTTGTCATCATGGAGGCCTTGGCCCTCCATCGAGTGACAAAGTCAGAAAAGCCTTCTTTCGGCTCTTGCCTGGTCGCTTCAAGATCACAGGTCGTGACTTCAATCTGGGTATTGTATGAATATTGTGCGACGAAGGCCTCAGCCATTTCCTCCTAGCTCCTTTTCACTGAGTCCTCCAGCTTGGCATACCAAATAGTCGCAATACCCGACAGGGTCCGACCGAAGAGTGATAGTTTCTGGAGTCTCGTCAAGCCCATCTGGCACAAAATATCTGAGAACAGCCTCAGGTGAACCATAGGGTCGCCCGAGCCGTCAAAACGGTCTATGTGAGGCATCTTGAATTTGTCTGGCAATGTTACCGTCGAATCAGTTGATTTTGCTTTTACTTGAAGCTTGTTCAATGCTTTTAATGTGATAGAAACTGTGTTTGTTTCTCCCATCCAGGTTAAGTAATGGGGGATTTATTGTGAGATCAGAGAGAATGGAAGCTAAAATGATACAATTATACAAACAGAGGTGATTCTGTCTTACCTTAGGAAGCAAACTACAAATGCTAAATTGTTTGCCTGTTGAATATTCATTTTTGGCCTTTACTATGTTCATCATTACCAGCTTGAATATAAATTTCAGTTTGTCTATAAATTTCAGACTAAAATGATTAGTTTATTGACAAACTAAATGATGATTTTTTTACTTCATTAGTTTGGAGAAACTGACACTACAATGTCAATAAAATGACTTACTTTATTAGTTTGGAAAATGGTTCAGATTTGGACACTATGGATGTTACAACCACTGTTTTCTTAGGTAGCTATCAGTAGCCGACCCCATTTGATGGGACTTAAGGCTTGGTTTGGTTTGGTATATATATATATATAAGTAGAAAAGTGAAGAATAGTTATCAAAGAATTGATGCAATTATTTGATCATGCAAAAATAATTTAGGTAAGTAAAATACGTTATATACTTTCGTCTACACCAACTGAAGTGTTATAATAAATAAATAAATATATATATATATATATAAAATATTTAATTACTGTGGGGTTACACCAAGGATCAACTTTAAGTCCTTATCTTTTTATTTTAGTTATGGATGAGTTGACGATAAATATTCAGGATGATGTGCCATGGTGTATGCTTTTTGCAGACGATATTGTGTTAGTGGATGAGACTAGAGAATGAGTTAACACTAAGCTAGAGACGTGGAGAGAAACACTTGAATCTAAAAGATTTAGGATAAGTAGAACTAAGACAGAATACATAGTGTAAATGTAAATTTAGTAACAGTAACAATGAAAGCAGAGGAGAAGTGAAGATTGAGAACCAAGAACTGCCTAAGAGTGAACATTTTCGTTATTTAGGGTCGATTATCACAACAGCGGGAGAGATTGATGCAGATGTGGCCCATAGGATTAAGGCGGGATGGTGTAAGTGGAGAAGTGCGTCTGGGGTATTGTGCGATAAACGAATACCCACTAGACTAAAAGGTAAGTTTTATAGAACGGCTATTAGACCAGCTATGTTGTATGGGACGGAGTGTTGGGCAACTAAGAAACAACATGTAGATAAGATGAGTGTGGCTGAGATGAGGATGCTAAGGTGGATGTGTGGTAAGACTAGACAGGACAGGATTAGGAATGAGTGTATTCGGGAATGGGTAGGAGTAGCACCGATAGAAGATAAGTTGAGAGAGAATCGTTTGAGATGGTTTGGTCATATTCAACGGAGACCAACAGAGGCAGTAGTGAAGAGATGCGATGCTGTAACGGTAGATAGAAGTGTTAGGGGACGGGGTAGGCCTAGATTAACGTTGACTAGCGTTATAAATAGAGATATGAATCTACTTAATTTGACTAATGAAATGACCTTTGATAGGGCCGCGTGGAGAAGAAGGATTCATGTAGCCGACCCCATTTGATGGGACTTAAGGCTTCGTTTGGTTTGGTTTGGTTATCCCCTTATCCTAGAAGAGACAATTAACATACCTTAATGCATTTTGCATCAAATGCCAAGTGCACAATCAGTGACTAATGTCAGGCATCACAATGGGTGTGGCCTTAGTCATTGCAACATCTTGATTGTTAAACAAAGTTTTTGGCGTCTTTCTTGACATAGCCTCTAAGTAAGTTTCAAACAACCATACGAAAGAATCAGCCGTCTGATTATCTAACAAAATTGCACCAAATTGATGGTTGATCTCACAAAAGATGCAAAGGGTCTATGCTCTTTATTTAACTTGTAAGTAGTATCAAATGTAACTACATCACCAAATTAGGTATAATTCATGATCATTCGTGCACTGGCCTAAAACATATTATTTGCTCCTCATTATTTAACTGGAAAGCATAAAAAAGAAGATGGATTCTCCAAAGATTTCTGTTGAAAGTATTGCAACACATTACCTCCCTCCCCATATGCTGAACTTTTCTGTCTTTTGGTTCTCAAATAATTTTTTTGGTCTAATTTCATAAATCCAAGAGACTGCCTCCCACCAGTTTCTAATTGAATAGCTTTTGTAGCTGATATCTTTCTCTGCGATGGCAACATGTGGGCACAATCTACTGATACAAGTTCATGGTTGTGTTCTTTGAAATTACTCACAACAAATTTCCCAATAGCCACATCCAATTTAACAAAAAGTTGGACCTCACAACCAGTGCTAGTTTCAACTCTAGAGTTTTTTGTCAATGGGTCTCGCTTGTCAACCTTCCGAAAACCCTCCTTGTTGTCAACAAAAACTCTAGAAATAATTTGTTTAGTAAACTTGTTCTTGTTACAACAATCCCTTCTTGTGCTAAACCCCATTCTTTCTCCATATGCATTATAAAAACAATACACACCTTTTGAATCAAATGGCATTCCTAGTTTTGGCTTCCAACCACAATCATTGTTAGGTTCCATATCCATGTCAAAATGCAACTGAAAAGTAGAAGCAATGAATTGATTTAGACTACTTAAAGCTTTGGAAGTAAATGAATTTTGCGATTGAAATTTTAAGAATTGGACTAATCAAATGTCATTCCTACTTTTTAAATTTTTTATTTTTTATTTTTTCAAATAGGAGAACATCTACAGAAGAAAAGTTGTGATATAACCCACAAATAGAATTGGTTATATATATTTATGAAATATAATGAACAAGTAGTTTCAATTCATCTCAACTACATTTAGGAACCTAGTATCATCAATTTAAAAGGTACTGGAAGTGGGAATGAAATGGGAGAAGTAGGTAAGTTTTCAAATAGGAGAACTTCATCTCCAGAAGAGAAGTTGTGACATAACCCACAATTAGAATTGGCTATATATATTTATGAAACAGAATGAACAAGCAGTTTCAATTCATCTCAACTACACTATGATGCGCACACACAGACACGGGACGTGACACGGACATGAGGACATGCAAATTTTTAATAAATAGAGGACACAACACGCCGGGAACACATTTAATATATATAATTTTATTTATTTATTACGTTTAAAATTAAAAAAAAAAATCATTGATTCCTATAAAATTACAATAATAATAAAATTAATAAACACATCACCTAAAATTTTTTAATAAAAATTGATTTTTTTTTTCAAGTAAAAATAATTTGTTCTATGAATTTAGGTTCAACAAAAACAAGGATACCAAAAAACAGAAAAAAGAAAAAAGAAGGGAGCGGAGAGACGAAATTAGGAAAAAAAGGGAGGGGAGAGAAACGGGAAAAAAAAAAATGAAAACAAATAAACCAAGAGCTGAGAGAAATGAAATCAGAAGAGAGAAGAGAGGCAAAATTGCAAAAAGGGAGACAAGCAAATTCAAAAGAGGGAGGGAAGAGAGACGAAATTAGAAATGGGAGGAGAAGAAGAAGAACAGAGAAGACGAAGAGAAGAGAACATAGAAGAAAAAGAATACCTCAGAAGGGCCTTGGATTGATCTCTTTTGAACAGCTTCAGTGCTTCAATTGATCTCTTTTGAACAACTTCAGGGCTTCCTTCATCGACCTCTCTCTCTCTCTCTCTCTCCCCAACGGGTTAGGGCTTCTTCGATCCACCTCACGCGTGTCCAAATCATGTCATCGCATGTCCATCGTGTGTCAGATTGGAAAAATTAAAAAAAAAAAAGGGGACACCTTAGGGAGAGTGTTCGACACATGTCCACAGCGTGTCTGACACTCGTACGCAGGCCCCGGGGAGGTGTCTGTGCTTCATAGCAATTACTTTTAGGAACATAGTATCACCAATTTTAGAGGTACTGGAAGTGGGAATGAAATGGGAGAAGTAGTTAAGTGTCGAGACCTCCAAAAATATAAAAGTTAATCTTTATCCTATTTCACTCTTATGTACCATGCAAATAATGTCCTTGGAAATGCAATGAAAACAACCACAAATTGGTGGGTGGGGGGGAAATTCAGGATCCATCTGCTATCTATGTGAACCACAATTGATATAATCTTCTCTTCAACAAGAATCAAAACCACAGCTTGTTTTAGCTATTCAAGAATATTAACCTACTGCAACTTCAAAAGCACTTTCTTAGTCTAGATAAAAGCATTCAAATACCACAGTCCATGAAATTACCTCTTGAATCCTGCTTTCTTCAAATTATCTTGAAGGAGAAGATTGTGAAGGTGAGGGTGAGGGTGAGGGTGAGGGAGAGGGACAGGCTGAGAAGTCGAGAAGGGTTTTGGGGAGGATGTAGAGTGATGTGGGTAGCGAGAGGGAGGTGTGATTTGGGGATTTGGGGCTCTGGGGGCTCTGGGTTCTGGTACACAAGATCGGAGGGAAACATTTTATTGGAAAATTATTATTATTATTATTTTTAAATCATCAAATCTCAGCCACCCATGAGTAAGTGGGCGACGTGGCCCAATTTGGGCCGTCACCCGCATGAAGCACCACAGAGGAGCTCAAGGAGAGGATCCAAACTCCTTTTTTATAGCATTACATTACTACAGCTGACATTAGATTATATAATCTCAAATATAAGAAACAAGAATATCTCAAACGATCCAACATTTCTAAAACTTTATACAAAATTAACCCCAGTGCATTTTCTTGTAGTGGAGAGCTCAATAAATAGAGAAGATGAGAGGGAGAGAGTGAGCAAGGTGAACACAATGGGAGAGAGACAGACAGACAGACACAGAGAAAGAGTAAGACGACATTGTTTTTTTAATTTTTTTTTTGTGACAGAAAAATGACGTTGCATTTATTTAAACTATTTTGTGACTATATATATATATTTGGGAGCGTCTCCGGGAGCGGTAATATATATATATATTTTAATGCACATTAGAAGTTTTTTTATAAATATTTTTATTTTAATATACATTAATTATTTTATTTATTTATTATATTTTTTAAATAATGTATTATTGTTAATTTATTTTTTTATTTTTAATTCATATATATTATAAATAAAAAATTATAATAGATAAGGAATAATAAATTATGTTAAAATAAATAAAAAGAAAAATTAGATATTTTATTTTATAATTTTTTTTATTATATATGGTTTAATTAGATTTATTTTAAATAATTGGATGATTTATTTTATTTATTATATGTTAAAAAGTTAAGAAATAATAATTTACAAAAATTATTATTATATATGATATTTTAAGAAATAATAATTAAACATTTTTTTATTACATATAATATATAATAAATTATATATATATTATAATCAGAAGAGGCCCTTTTATCATATATATATTATATATGATAAATTATATATATTATCTATTATATATGATATGATCCAGACGAAGAGAAAGACTGAGGAGAAGAACGAACAGAGATGAAGAGAGAGAGAAGCAGAGACGAAGAGAGAGAGAGAGAGAGAGAAGCACAGAGAGAGTGATGAAAACGAAGACAATCGAGAGAGTGGCAAAGACGATCGCGAGAGTGACGAAGATGATCGAAGCCCTTTCTCCTCTCATGTCGACGTCAAAGGTTAGGGTCTCTCTCTCTCTCTCTCTCTCTCTGCCCTTTACGATCCCATCTTGGATTGAATCGCGTTTCTCTCTCCACAGAAACGCGATTCTTACATGTTTCTTTCTAGGAATCGCGGAATCGCGATTCTTACTGAGAATCGCTACCTAGTTGCACGATTCCTGCGACTAAGGTCCTGGCTAGTACCAATGGCTTAGAATTTCCGTTCATTTATAATCAGAAAGATTTGGAACCGACTGAACTCCATGAGACCTAATCACAGCACAGCCAGCTGTAATTATCAGAGTGGTAGATCTTGACTGAAGCGAAATCAAAAGAAGACAAGATTTATGGAAAAATTTTGCATTTTTTTAATAAATTTTAGATTAGAAATCTGCTCTAGGCCCGACTCCCTATAGATATTTGCAATACACAATTTTATATGTCAGTTTCTTAGATAAAGCTCCTACAGTTGTGAATCCCGTGCCCAACCTCTGGAACATAATAAAAACCCACAATAACTTAAAGTCACAAATTTTCATTTGTCTTCTAAATTATTTCTCATAGGCCTCTAAGAACTCTTGAAGGATGACAAATTACATTTCTCAAAGAATTTTGACCCAAAGTTTTATTCCGTAAAAAGGCAAAGAAAAATAGCATAAACCATACCCCACATGCTTTTGCAACTTTTCCACCAAGGCATCAGATAATGGTTGTAACCCATTAAATAGCAACACATTAATATGCACAGGAACATACCATGGCTGTAAGCTCTGGAGTGTGCTGAGCAAGTGGCCTCTTGACAACAGTAGATGCAGCAGATTTAACATATGATGGCTTCTGAGGAACTGTAGGTCTTGCAGCATAATCATCTTGTAAAAAAGGAGGGGGACCCGGGGGAAGTGGTGGTCTCATCATGAGGGCTTGTCCAGGGGGAGGCCCAAAAGGTGGCCTCGGAATTAGAGAAACGATCATGCCTGGGGGTACAGCTTGGCCAGGTAATCCAGGAGGGGGTGGGGGTGGGGGGAATCTTGAAATTCCTGGGGGTAATACATCAGGCTGTAAATTTGGGACCAGTGCAGGACTGAGCACTGCAGGCTGTTGCCTTGGAGGTGGGGGTGGGGGAACCAGTTTAGGGAGATCGTTGGTCCCCGAAGAATTTTTGGCCTCAAATTCAGATGGTGCACCTTCAGATTGATTACTTGCAACCTTTGACGGTAACCCAGGTGGAGGGGGTGGAGGGAGAATGGTATGTGCCTGCACAATAGAGAGAGAGAGAGAGAGCGAGATTTATAAGTGAGAGAGAGAATTTGTCTCTATTTTCTAGACATTAGCTGCAAAATGTTAAGTAGTTTTTAGCATCTACAGGTCTAGATATTCAATAAAACAAGTATATCGGTTTTCCACCAATTACTCTTTTTCTTTTTCTATTAACGAAATTTTCATCCATTTATTCTTTAAAAAAAAAAATTAACTAGACAATTAAGCCTTGTTTGTCATAACCTAAAAAAGTCAAAAAGTCATTATCCTATTTAAGTCACATCATCTTATTTAAGTCACATCACCTCTCTATCACATCACCTCTCTACCACATCACCTCAAACCCAATCCATATTTCATAAAAAGTCAAAAAGTACACTTATTTAGATCATTCCAAACCACTCCTTAAGAACACACTTGTTCAGTCAAATAACTATGTCAGAATTTTTTTTATAAAGATCATGCCTGTCCATGTTTCAATCAAGTGATCAACATCTTTTCAAACAATAAATTTCAAGTTCTCACACAATCAAACAATTTCCACAAAGCGAACAAAAAAGAGCTTACCTGAACTGGCTCCTTGGAGATTGAATCATCTGACTTTGAAGATTGATTTTTCTCCCTTTCACTTCCACCAGTGCCTGGTGGATGTGGCTGAGCAAACTGCTGGAATGGCGGAGGTGGAGGAAGGGGAGGCCGAATTGCAACATGATCTTTGGGTGGGGGGCCAGGAGGTGGTGGTGGCAAAGGAGGTGGAGGCAATGGTGAACCCAAATCTGCCACAGCAGCCTTTGGTGGCATAGGAGGTGGAGGAGGTAAAGGCAAAGATGCAGGTATAACAGAATCTCCAGCATCTACATCACCAGTATGGGGCAGAGGAGGAGGTGGAGGTGGAGGTGGAGGAACACCTAAATCAACATCTTCCAATTCTGACATCGATGATGATGCAGCATCACTCGATGATGCTGCTGATAAGGGAATTCTTGGTCCTGCAACCAACATATGGATGAGAGAGAGAGAGAGAGAGAGAGAGAGAGAGAGAGACCAAAAGCATAAAAATTACCTATTGACGATTTAAACATAGGAGGCTTTCCAGGTGGTGGGGCTCCTGTGGGATTCAATGTAGGGTGATAGTAAACTGAGTCCTGCATAAAAAAAGAATCACTGAATGCAGATCATATCTTACCAAAAGGGACTGATGTTACAGCACAAATTGAGTAAAAATTACTTCAGGTTTTGGGTGCTTGACTCTTTCTTCTTCTTCTGCATTTGTCCGTCTTCGGGGAGGTCCCAAATGACTGCATCAGAAGGAAAATATACTTGTTAAATGAAAACAGATGATTGTTATACCAAACCAAACCGATTTGAGACGGTCCACTTTTCTTACTAGAAAGTAATCTATTTAGCTCCTAATTGACCCACTCTTACAAGGTTATCAAATGCTCCTCTCTCTTCTTATACATGGTATTGGCCATCACCATGTCAGAAACCAACACAAAATCTAAAATATTCTCTCCAGCCTCGTTTCTATCACCAAAACTATACCCACCATGCACTCTCTCATAACCTAGTTTATCGATTCCTACATGGTCGTTGAAATCTCTACCTATAACTAGGTTATCTTCTATAGGTATCTCCTATAATAACTCATATTCCTAAACACAAAAATCTCTCTTAGTCTGATGTGATCACCAAAACAGATAATTGTTGAAAAAAAAAAAAATTCTTGTTGCAAAAATAAGAAAATAAAGATTAAAGAAAAATATAGGCTCTTTCACCTGAACATAACTGGTGCTTCACCTTTTTCTCGCATTTTCTCTTCATATTCCTGTGTAGGACAGCCAGGAAGACTGTGACAATCACATTTAGCATCATAATACCACTAAAATGTGAAGGAAGCATTATACAACTTAAATGTATATTGCAGACAAAAAGGTTTATTACCAAAATCAAAAAACTGTTAATTGCCAAACATTAAAAAAACTAAACCTCAATTCCAAAAATTTTCTATGGAAATTGCAACACTACTAAATCCTTTCACCACAAACATCACTTCTACCTCTTCTTTACAAATGAACTTTAGAAGTGGGCGCATTTAGAACCAAATTAAAGGGATAATGGTTTCCAACTGCCACAAAACCTAGTATGCAATTCACATATGCATCATGTTCAGGTGATTCCTAGAAAAGGAAGACACCACCAGCCCGTTTGGGAGGGACAGAGAAGTATCAACGGTCCATCTCAGTGGCAAGAGAAGTATCTCCCTATTATCTTATTAATCTGAATATAAGTGGGCCGGCTACTTTGCCAGAGAGACTCAGAAAATTGGATTTTCTGGAGGTGAACAGCCCAAAATTGGACCAACCACATCCAAGAAATTATAATTTATATCTATAGCAAAAGTCCAATTCAAATATTGTTTTTCAGTGAAGTTGTCAGTTTATAAAAAGCCACCACAAGCATTCGCAGGTTCAATGCCAATCAACCTAGCAAAAAAGAACCTAAGTTAACTTCAACTAAAATAAAAACAATTAAAAGCTTCCAGAGCAGCTCTTAACAAACATTATCAACAAAGATTCAAAAAATATCCCGTTCATGCTTCTTAGGCCTGAACTCTCCTATTTGCTCGACCCCTTGCCAACAATCAATAAGGTCCACAACTTCATGAGGCAAAACCCTAGACAATGAAGTGAGGAAACATCATAAAGCATAGGTCTCTTGTGCATACAGCAACAATTTGGAAGGCATTCTTTACCTAACAACCCAAATTATCCATAGTCAAAATCACCTCCAGAGCTACCCCACACATCAAATTGTGAACAAAATTAGAGTGTATTTGAACATGTGAACATCTAAAATTCTAACTCATGTTTGGTGAATTTCAATTTTTTTTTTTTAATATTCGCGTAACATAAATTTAATCTTTTTTCTAATTCTTGCAACTTCAAAGCAAAAGAAGAAATAGTTTGGAACAACATCTCAATGATTTGACATTTGTTAAGTATAATAAACTATTGAGATGCAATACACTTGATCCCATCTCTTTAAAGAATATTGATGAAAAGAATGAGTGGTTGCTTAGGAGAATTCGATGGAGATGATGAGTTTGAGTTTGATGATGATAGTAGTAGTTTGACATGTGGCGATGTAGCTATAGCTTTTGGAATTGGAGAAAGTAGGAAGAGAACTAGAACAAGAACTTCAAGCAAGCTCAAAGGAACAATCGATGAGTGTTAAATCATCAGTTCCACTTCAAATGAGACACAAGACGAAGATGATGATGGATTATCCAATGATGAAGAAGAAGATTATGATTTTCTTGGTGTTGATGTTGAGAATGGTTGTTAGGTCCTCCTTAAGATATTGGTGTTTTTAAATGTTATAACTTTAAATATTGGTGTTTGTTATTTGTGTTAGATATTTAGTTATTTAATTTGCCCTTGTTAGTTTTAAGACATTTAAACTTTAATATTAGTGCCCGCTAGCTTTATGCTTTGTTGAATGTTTAGTTGTAGACTATTTGGTATTTGGAATGGTAGATGCTTTTATGGCTTTTGGAAGTCTTATAAAATTTTACAAAGAACTTTTCTTTTTAAGAAAATTTTCTTATTGTTTATAACATGAATTCTTTCATTGCACTTATGTTGAAGCTTGAATTATTAGTCTAAGTCAAATTATATATTTTATATCTACAAGGTGCACCTTGCTTCAATGAAGCCCGCACTTCGCCTTGCGCCTAGGTCGCAAGAGACCTCGGTCCCTTGGTGCACCTTTCACTTTTAATAACGCATCTAGAGAATCAAAGATCATAGGCAGTATAAGCCAATAAATGGTTGGGAATTCCTCTATCAATGGAACATCACAAAACCAAACATCATTCTGAAAACACTCTCAGTGATAAATTCACCCTTAGCAATACACTATCCATTTCAAAAAATGTCTTCCATAACCACTCACCAAACAAGGCTTGAACTGCCTGAGCTTCTCAATTGCCAAAGCTCCATCTTTAAGCATCAAACAAAGAGGAGACAGCACTCAAAAAAATGATATTTGTGTTATGGCCTCTCTAGCTTCTAAGCCATCAGGAATAAAATAGTAAAAATGGACATGAAGAACATCAAGATGGAGGCAGCTAAACACAAGACTTTAGCAAGTGCCCCCATTTGACAACACTTGCCTCATTATCCGCCCCCAACCCCCCACAAAGACTAATTGAATCATCAATAAAAAGAGATAGAAACCAAAATGAAAACACTGCCACGACTCCTAATAGAGACCCCCAGCAATATGCAGCCATCCGCTACTCTATCTAGCATCCTACTGAGCGACTCCATGACTAGGATAAAAGGGAAGGAAGAGAGAAGGCTGCCTTGTCTAAACCCTCTGAAGCTGCCAAAGAAACTTGTTGTAATGCAATTCACTTGAAGGAAGAAGTTGTCCATACAAATGCAAGCCTTTAACCGAATTTCTAGTTTACTCACAAACCCATAAGCTTGATGACACAGATCAGGAACCTCAAATTACAAACTCATAACTCATACACTTCTCTGACTTGACCGCAGACTCAGCGGTCAAGTCTAATTTTGCAATCCACAAATTCATTAGCCGAACTGACACCATAACCAATTTGTCTACCTTACGCAGAAGCATTGTGTGGGAGTGTATCATTTAGCTTAGAATCTTTAAGATATAAACAATGAAGATGTCTTAAGGCACCCCCTTCTCATTTTCAATAAACATGCTCACCAATATTCATCTTTGCATACAACATATTTGTTACACCAGTTGCTTTGCTTGAAATACTTATTCAAACAACTAAATGCAACAAGATCCCATCCTAATTTCTAAATGCACTCCTCACCAACTCATTATATGTAAAGATAGTAATACTTTCTAAGAAATAGAAGGCCACCATGTCATTCAACCAAAATTTATGACAGTAAAAAAATCAACCATTAACGAATACATTTTTGGTCTAAACATATACTAATAAGTGCCACAGAAACTTCAATATGAGGCCAACTCATATTTAGCTTGACTAGCAGCTAGTTCAATATAGGCTCATGAGATAAACAAGTCAAAACTTGCCAAAGTTTGAAGCCCCTTAATTTATTGAGCTTGGAAGTCAGCTTAACCATCTATAATATTATACAATAAAGCAAACTTCTTGAGCTGAACTCATGATTTACTTGGTCAAGGGCTTTTCCCAATATTGGCCCCGTTTGATAAAATTGTGGGAAAGTGATTATAACTTATAGCCTAACAACTTATAGTGAACATAAGCTGATTTTTGACTTATAAATTAAGCTTCTCCTCCCCCACTCAAAGAATAAGTTGATTTTTGACTTACAAAAAGCTATAAGCTGTATTGTTAAGCAGAACCAAACACATCAAAATAGCTTAAATTAAGCTAAAAGCAGAAATAAGCTGGACATAAGCCCCTACCAAACAGGGCCATTGGCTCGAGAGATAAACACATCGAGCTTGGTCAAATTTTGAAGTGTTAATTTCACTAGCACTTCTCATTTTTATGCTTCTTAAATAATAAAAGCAAGCCCAAAAAAATGTTTGGACTCTGGGGCTGTAGTACACCGCATACAGACGTAGGCCCCAAAATGAAAAATGCCAAGTTTTTAGTGATTTTGGTAATAACTTAACAAAAATGTTCATCTTTGCTTACTGAAGAAGACAAAAAGTTTCAGTTAGGACATTAGTTTTGCATACGTAGGCCATTACCTTCCTCTTCTTAAAAAATAAAACATAAAGATTACCTTCCTCTTCTTAAGAACGAGGTTCAGTGTGTCCTCAAGTTGTCTCTTCTTGTGTTTTCTTGCTTTATCTAAAGCACCATCTGCCTCTGCACCAGTTAATAGAAAAGGCATGTTATTGTATCGGAAAGCTACTAAATAAAGCTGCATGCGTGATTAAAAAGATTGCACAAAGGAAAGAAGTTAGACTTATTTATTATGCAAGCAACATGAAACAGTGTACACAGAAAATCTGAAGGGTGAAGAAAAGATACGAAACACTCCTGAGGAAAAATTCTTCTTAAAAAATTCATAATTTCTCCTATTTTATTTATGAGAACGTAATGATCATTGTTTTTAAAATGGCATCAATCTGATAATACTCTTTATGAAAAATAAAATTCACAGTGTAACACAGTCAAATATATGGCACATGCACAAAACTAAGTGACAACTAGCAAGTGTTATTGGTAACTCAAGTATCAGACTAAGACCTAATTTAACAGACTTCTAAGCATTTGCACAACTGTGGCAATTCAAGTGTCAGATTAAAACCTAATTTAATCAACTTTTTGCGCATTCGCACAAATGGAGAAGTACCTACCACAGACATTGTTCAATGGCATAAACTTTGTTTTTTGCTATTTGTAACCCACCCAATATTCCATAGAACCCTTCAGTGTGAAATAAAAAACAAACAAGTACATAGTCATGATATAAAAAACGAAAGATAGATGATGACTTACTCATCATTTCCAGCTTATCTATCTGCTCCTTCAGTGTCTCGGGATCCTTCTTCAATATCCCTACCTCCCTCACTTTCTTCCTTTCTTTCTTGTTCTGACAAAATATATGAGCACAGATAATAAGATCTTGTGCAAATTCAGAACATGTATTGAACCCCTCAATGAGAAAACAATGAGTAACAAAAAAGAAACAAACATAACATGTAAATGATCCACAAAAGCACACTTTTAAAGATGAATAGTAAATAAGAGCATCTCAAAAACCTTCACCAAAATTTTCATTTAATTTGATTCAAAATTTGAGTAAAAAGCTTGATTTGATACGAACTACTCCAATCCTTTCATCAAATTTTCGTCAAAATCATTTTAAAAATTCCCTTCTTATCCCAAGTATTCCTTTTCATCAAATTTGATCGAAGAAAAAAAATCATCTCCAATGCTTCATCTTTTTAAACTTTCATCAAATTCAAATTTGATGAAAAAATGACTGTCCCTTGATTTGATGAACATTTGAAGAAAAGATTAGTGGTGATTTTTGAGCACTTTTCCATCAAATTTAAATTTGATGAAAGAAAAGGTCCATCTACATTAATCAAAGTATTGATGACAGAAATTATCATATCAAAAAGCTGAAAACAAGGCAGCACTATTACTTGAAGAGAATAAAAATTGAATGCCAAATTAATCAAAAATAACTCCAACAACTTTCCATTTAAACAATTACAAAAACAAGAATTTTTCTTTCCTTTTACATTAAAATCAATTTTGCCTCGGGGAAGCAGATTACCCAAAAAACTCCTGGGAACAGTATTTGAAAAAATGAACTCCATTAATCGATTTAGAACTCATACCCCAATTGAGACATTGTAGAATAGGCTAGATCGCTACTGTTTCACTGGTTCAAGTATTGACTGATTAATTTAGACTATAGAAACTCAGCTCAACTAAACAAAAATAGTTGGATTGTCAATTACAATTTGGGTTTCTTCTCTGTTTAACAAATTTCATTAGCAATAAATCAGAACATGAGTGACAATTGGTGTGTCAAATAGGAGATAAAATTCTGAAAAAATATGAGATTATGATTGATTACCCTTTTCAGTTCCTTCTTGCGAAGCTCTTTTCGATAAGCGTCCGTAGGGTTCATGACTTTGCCTCCTTTTGTGGTCTTCATCCTCCCTCTCTCTCTCTCTCTCTCTCTCTCTATGTATGTATGTGTATCTCGAAGTTATCTTCTTTCTTTGATTTGAAGTCGATTGCAGAGAGTCGACAGAGCAAACGGAGATGAAGAAGAGCACAGCAACACAACTGCGTTCGGATTTCGCATGTGTGTACAATTATTAATTACAGGCTTTACCTTTGTGGTTTAGGTTATTTGCACTTTGACCACTCTGTTGTTTAATACCCCCACTCTTCTTCTTTTTTTAGTGGTGGTTTGATGATTGACTATCTTAATTATTATTATTATTATTTTTTTTTTTACAGAAATATCTGCTAGAGGGAGTTATGTAATAATTTATAGTGTCTTTTTTTTACTTTTAGATTAAAATAGCTTATTCCCAAACATCGATCCTCTACGTTTAAATTATACTGATCCTATTGAAGTTTCAAAAAAATATAATGAGTTTTACAATTTTAGTATAATTACATTAAATTCTCTAATTGTTATAATTCACATAATATTTAGAATATTTTTCATCAATAATTCGCTAGTCATATGAATTGAAAAATAATATTATTATCTTTTTTACATTGAATGTATTTTCTCCTTTTTATCATTATTTATTTATTTTATTTTATTTGATTGAATGAAACAAAAAATAGAAAGCAGGAAAACAAACTAAAGCTGGAGAATGTCTGCCAAAAGAATCTCAAGCTCTTGCAGAAGATGAGACACCCAGTCAATAGGAAGTTTGTTGCTATGATTTCATTCTATTTGTGTTAATTTCGATTACTTTAACCTAACAAAAAGGAAGATTCGTATAATTACGCTAAAATTATGAGACTTCATGTATTTTATTCAAATATTACGAAAAACTAATGTGAATTATCCTTCTTTTTTTTTTTTTAAATTACAATTTTATCATAATACAAAATATTTTCATTATAATCTTTCAAACTCTAACCGTTACATCACCATTGCCACCACCAATAGTAACTCCACTTACCAAGGCTTACTCTTCTAGATTCGACCCATTGTGAAGAAAATTAATTTAAAGTAAACATTTGGAAAAAAATATTGTGAAACGACTTGCAATGATAATTTGGATCTTTAACTGGTCTCCATTTTCAGATTTCAATTTGCACTCTTTGATTCTATGGGTATGTTTGTTTTCAGATCTAGGTAGGATGGATGTAATTATTAGTGAGAAAATTATTAATGTTGGATTTAAGTAAAATTGCATTTGTTTATTAATAATTGTTAGTATGAAGATAGTTAATTATTTTTATATAAAATAATGAGAGACTACAAAAAAATAAAAAAAATAAAAAAAAATCCAAATCAGCCATGGTTTTTCAAAACAGCCCATGGTTTTGAACTTCAATTTGCACTTGGGTAGGACAACTGCCTGGACGTCCTCTCAGACAAGCAGTTCCACTCTAATTCCAACGGACTATTTATGAATACCATATTCTCTGGGTGACTACTAGTCCGCTTCTCCAAGGACTTTCATAATTCGAACGGACACCGAATCTAGGCTTCCATTTTGCAAACAAACATGATATTAATACTTTACCTCACTAACAATCCAGTCCAGCCATTCAATTCGGAAAACAAACAAGGCGTATGTGCTTTCTCTCTCTATCTCTCCATTATTTTTCTTATTTGTTTCAGTTCTTCATCTTTTTCTCTTATTAATTTCTTGTTTCAATTTTTTTTTTTTTTTTAATCTTATAAATAATGTTAGAAAACACTAGTTAGTGTAATAATAAATATACCTACTAGACACGATGTTAAGTGGGTCATGTTTTCAAGTAATGAATAGCACATGTATATTTATGTTTTTGTTAGTGTCTTCGGTAGTACACTAATGAGTGATTTTGGCATTACATTTTTTTTTACTGGTTCTCTCTTCAACTTTATTTCATTTTCTATTTTTTCTTCATTCTGTCCAATTCTATTTAAATATTTCTTCTTCTTCTTCAGTTCTTACTCTTATTATTTCTCAGTTCTCTTTTCTTCATCAGCCCTTCAACAACTAAAAATATTTCTAAAAATTGAACAATCAATTTTTAACAAAGATGAGATTTATTCTTAACTTTATTTTAAACCCAAAGGTTATTTGTAGGTTTTTCAAAATTAAAGAAATTTACAAATTTATAAGTAAATTTTATCTCAATAACTTTACAACACAAGAAACCTGTATCTAAAATTTTAATTACAAAACTATGACATTTATATAAAGTATAAATTTTTTTAGATCTAGGTAGGATGGATGTAATTATTAGTGAGAAAATTATTAATGTTGGATTTAAGTAAAATTGCATTTGTTTATTAATAATTGTTAGTATGAAGATAGTTAATTATTTTTATATAAAATAATGAGAGACTACAAAAAAATAAAAAAAATAAAAAAAAATCCAAATCAGCCATGGTTTTTCAAAACAGCCCATGGTTTTGAACTTCAATTTGCACTTGGGTAGGACAACTGCCTGGACGTCCTCTCAGACAAGCAGTTCCACTCTAATTCCAACGGACTATTTATGAATACCATATTCTCTGGGTGACTACTAGTCCACTTCTCCAAGGACTTTCATAGTTCGAACGGACTCCGAATCTAGGCTTCCATTTTGCAAACAAACATGATATTAATACTTTACCTCACTAACAATCCAGTCCAGCCATTCAATTGGGAAAACAAACAAGGCCTATGTGCTTTCTCTCTCTATCTCTCCATTATTTTTCTTATTTGTTTCAGTTCTTCATCTTTTTCTCTTATTAATTTCTTGTTTCAATTTTTTTTTTTTTTAATCTTATAAATAATGTTAAAAAACACTAGTTAGTGTAATAATAAATATACCTACTAGACACGATGTTAAGTGGGTCATGTTTTCAAGTAATGAATACCACATGTATATTTATGTTTTTGTTAGTGTCTTCGTTAGTACACTAAAGAGTGATTTTGGCATTACATTTTTTTTTACTGGTTCTCTCTTCAACTTTATTTCATTTTCTATTTTTTCTTCATTCTGTCCAATTCTATTATTTCTTCTTCTTCTTCAGTTCTTACTCTTATTATTTCTCAGTTCTCTTTTCTTCATCAGCCCTTCAACAACTAAAAATATTTCTAAAAATTGAACAATCAATTTTTAACAAAGATGAGATTTATTCTTAACTTTATTTTAAACCCAAAGGTTATTTGTAGGTTTTTCAAAATTAAAGAAATTTACAAATTTATAAGTAAATTTTATCTCAATAACTTTACAACACAAGAAACCTGTATCTAAAATTTTAATTACAAAACTATGACATTTATATAAAGTATAAATTTTTTTAAAAAAATCCCAAGTTTAAAAAATTGTCAACAATTTAGTGTCAAGCGTTGGCGAATGATTTTCTAGCAATTTGTTCATATATCCTATTGAAATAGAAACATCTAATGATATAATTTAGTGATATTTTCCAATTTCGTGTTAATCGAAATTGATCGAGTCTAATCTGAAAAAATTTAGTGTTGATTTAGTGGTTTTTAAGTACAAAACAGTCATGCTAAGCATTATCAACTGTGCTATTTCTTTAATATCTTGAGAAATATGCAACTGCAAGCACATAAACTTGGCAGGTTCATGATCTACGAGAAAACCAAGCAAATGATCATTAGCATTTTTAAACAAAAGAATCACAAATGTTTCCAATAGTATAATAACATGAACTTCATATAATCAGAAAGAAAACCAGCATTGTCTCATATTTTACCTCACTTCCACAAACATAGCTCACATTAAACATCAGAAAACCAGAAAAATAAATAAATAAATAAAAATTACATTTTTCCTTCTCACTGTATTGCCAAATGTTGTTGCCGTCTGAGGAAAATCTGCATATAGAACCTCCTTGTCCGGAACAACAAAATCAACGCAACAAAAAACCCAGAAAGACTAACACATGCCAAGATGAAAAAAGATAACATGAAGCAATGAGTACCGTAGCATGAATTCCCCTCACCCGCTTCTTTATCATAAATATAGCCAATTACAAACACAGACAGTATGGAAGCTCCAATAGGGCTTGCCATGGTAATGGTGTTAAAAATAGTACCCATATGCAAAACACCATATATCTCAGAAGTGATAGTTGGCATAAGTGACCATTGTGAACCATAACAAACTCCAACTAGTATTGAACCCACAAACAAATTACCGGGAAAACCAGAAGCAATGATTACATGGCCAACCGTCATAGTTCCCAGAGTTAGAACCATAAACAATGGTCGTGCCCAGCCTCGTGTGTGAAGGAATATATCTGATACATATCCAGCTCCAAACCGTCCTAGGAAGTTCCATATACTCCATAAGGAAACTAATGTATTTAACTGCACAGTTGTGTAACCGAGTGATTCCCCAATTTGGCTTATGTTGTTTAATGTGGCCAATCCTGAGCCCATTCCACATAACATGGCGATAAACAATAACCAAAAGTTTATGGTACGCATTGCTTGCAGGAGATTCATTTTACAAAGATACTCGATAGAATCTTCCTCCGTAGAGAATTTCTCAGAATCAATTGTAGATTCATCAATTAATAGGGTCCTCTCGTTGGGTGGTGTTTGTGGTAATCTCAGTGAGTCCTCTTGTTGGGCTTTGATCGCAATCCCAAGAAGTGAAGCGAGAAGAAGAAGAAGCACTACAAATGTAAGAAGGCGTGCCCAGAATGGAAAAGTAAATACATTTTCCAAGATTATCAAGATCAAGAGATACGCAGCAACAATCAAAGCGATTGCTGAGAAACCATTCAGATGCTTCTTGTTGTCTCCACTGTTTGTCTGATTAATTCTTACCAGGCACATGAACAATAAGGAAACAAAAGTTGGCAACAGTGCAAGCATCAATATGAAACTGCTTGGGTTGTCGTTGAGAATTGTATGATACGCTTGTACAAGCATTGCTCCACTTAATCCAAGAAAGCCCTGGCCAAACAAGAAGTTAAGAGAGGAGGTACTGTACTAAATGTAATTGTAGTAGTTCTAAATGATTGAGAATTGACAACATGTAGATTATAGCTAGAGGAAGAAAAAACAGTATAGAAACAAGGTACATCTAAATTGTCAATGTCATTCTCTTAGAACCCTAAAAGCAATTCTAGAGATATTACATAATACACTTAATTCAAGTACCATGCGAAACATGAAACATATCATTTTTCTTTTTTTTTTTTCTCGTAGCAAATAAATTTACATTTTGATACGATTGTACATTCAAGAGTAATCTTTTGTAAGTTTTAAAAATAGGCGTCTTCAAATTTCAAAGGCCCATTGTATACTGCAGTGCAGTGATTAAAGATAGGGCTTAAGCGTAAGAAATTTCAAATGTTAGGTTATTAAGTATGAGGACCGAAGTTTCTGAGAACACCACTTTTGTGCATATTATGCCAAAGTTAGTAATAGGGCTGAGCAAGGAATCCGTGAAATTCGTAATCCGATCCAGTCCAGTCCAATCCGATAGGTTTGGATTGGTTTTTTGAATCCGTGGTTCGGTTCCGGATTAAAGAATTAAAAATCCGTAATTCACGGATTGGTTCTAGATTGAACCCCATGGTTCCGAATTGGAACCGATTCGGACCGTATACAAATAGTCTATATTTTTATTATACATGCTCCCTCATAGTATCTTCTCTTATTCTATATAAAACCTAAACTCAAACCTAAACTCGCATCATATATTCTTTTATTACTTTTGTTTGTTAGTTTTTAGTTTTAATTTGTAATGGTCTAAATACTTATGGTGAAACCAATTTTTTTATAGTTATTTAAATTCTAGAACAGTGTGTCGCTATTATAGAAAGACATGTTATTATTGTGAAGCTAATATATCGCTATGTTTATGTTTTTATGAAATTAAAGTGCTATATATATATATTTTTTTGTTATTTAATTATGTGAATCCGTGGTCCTAAACCGATCCAATCCGTATTTAAATGGATTGGTTCGGATTGGTTCCATGATTTAAACGGATTGGATTGGTTCCAATTTTTCAGGAACCGTAAATAATGGATTGGTCCTAGTTTTACCCCAATCCGGTCCAATCCGGACTATGCTCACCCCTAGTTAGTAATGTAACCCATCTATTTCAGTCGGCATCGTTGATTATTAAAGGACCGACTCTAGGGAATGACCATTTTAAGAGCCTTCAAATTTTGATTTATAATTCCTTGTAGTTTCTTCAAAAACTAAAAACGATAAAATACAGTTAATTTTTTTAAATTTTCAACACTACTTCCCTGCAATTCCCTGCAATTGATAAATAAAAGAAGCAACAATGGTTGCAATAAATAATTGGATGTGAAGGATCATTAGATTTTGACATAAGAAAGAGTAATCACAAAAAAAGACGAGATAATTGTTTAAAAAAAAAAAAAAAAAAAGGAAGAAGCATGTTTCAAATCGAACCGAATCTTTTATCTATTTAATCAACTGAATGAAACCTGTACAATGAAAAATTGAGAACTCTATTGTGTGCCTATCAACATGGTAAAATGTGAATGGCTTATCAGTGCCAAGTTAAGAAGCTGAGGCAAGGAGATAGAGTTCATAACAACAAAGTCGGGATAAAATATGTCATTCATGAAAACAAAGTGATGATTTTCAATTTTGCATCATACTCTCGATTAAGACTGGCAAATAAATTGCAACATTAGAGAACACTAACACTTTGACAATGGCTTTCAACTAACTCGAGAGTAGTTCAATGGTGCTTTTAAAAGCTTTTAATAGCCATATCCCCCTTCCATTCTTTGGCCCAACCATATCTTTGTCATCTTAGCATGAAAATAAGATGACTACAAATCCTTTGTTCACTTTCTTCACTGTCTCAAATCTATTAACCATAGTTATTGTTAAATATAGTAACTATATATTCAATCTATCATAAATACCATATTATATTTATTATCATATTTAGGATTATCATACTTAGGTTTCTCTCCTCCTATATAAAAAAGTCTTGTATACATTGTTAAATAATTATTCAATACAATATTCAATATAATATTCTCCTTCTCTCTTTTAAATATTATAACATGACATCAGAATTAGGTTAAGTACTTAGTAATTTCACTTCACCAGCGGGCGGCAACCTTGCCTTGGCTACCCGCCGGACCGCAACCCATCCTGCTGCCATAATTTCTTTTCAGTATCCCTTTGTGGTGATCTCTTCCTCTGTCCACTAGTTTGTTCATACCCCAAATATCTCTATCATATATATATTTTTTTTACTCGCAATATTTTTTTCTGTGTTTTTGCTCCATTTTGTCTTTCCCTCTGTTTCAACCTCAAATAGGTTTTTATCTTCAAACCTATTTGAGTTTAAGGGAGTATTATATCTATGTTATGGTGAGTACGGTGATATATCATGTGAACCACCTAAGTCGCCTCTTCTAGCACACAACCTAAGCCACCCCCTCTGGCGCACCATCTAAGTCACCCCTTGGCGTACCACCCAAGCCGCCCTCTCTGGCTCACAATCCAAGTCACCCCCTTGGCGAACCACCAAAGTCATCGCATTTAGTACACCATCCAAGCCGTCCCCTGGTGCACTTTCTAATAAGTCGCCCATTGGCACACTCAGTTATCTGTTGCCATCATCGTTCAACACCACATCATAAGGTATGTATGGCCATGCTTGCTGGTTCAACATCCAGTTCTCTATATCAGTTCAGCATGATCCCTTTAAACTGTCCCGATATTGATTCCAGTTAGTCTCCACAACAGTTTGACATGACCCCTTAAATTGTCTCGACATTAATTCCGGCCAATTCCTACAACGGTCCGGCATGACCCCGTAAACTGTCTCGACATTGATTCCGGTTAGTTCCTACAATGGTCCAGTATGACCTTAAATTGTCCCGACATTATTTCCAACTAGTTTCTACAATGGTCTAGTATAACCATAAACTGTCTCTTGGCATTAGCTCCGACCTCTAATCTATCTCAAACACCCCTGTGCACCCATCTTGTGATACCCCTGTTCTGTATTATGCTAAATTGGTCCTTAATTTGTTTATGGTTATGTGTTTAGCATGATTTTGTGTGCCATTATGTGATAATATGTGATTTTGAATTCGTATCTGTTCACCGTAGGAATATCTGTTTGAAAAATCCGCTTCGGGAATTAAATTGAGGGCCTTATCGGCCACAGAACCCGAAATTGATTACGCCACTGTGATTGGCATAATTTTTAGAGCCTACGGTGAAATTTAATTGAAAATTTATCCTGGTCAATTTAAACTAATTAAATTGATAAATTAAGTGCCCAATTGTTTTATAATAAAATAATGTTGAGTGCGTGCTTATTAAGGGTCAACTACACCCTCATTTCTCTCCTTTAAGGTTCATTTGGCTGATGAAAAACTCTTAGACTTGAGAGAGGGTCGGCTAAGAGAGAGAGGGTGAAGGAAATTGAGATTTTGGTCCTAAAGCTTGGTGATCTTGGAGGCTAGCTCAAGAACTTACCTTAAATTGTGAGGATTAAGCTTCTAGGTAAGCCATTGACTCTTGAATTCATGAATTGAACATGTAATCTTGTGAGCTCAAGTATTTTTTTGTGATTAAGAGTATGATTTAAATTGGTCTTGATGAGATATGACCATGCATGCATAAAAATTCTGTTGAATTGCCATAAGTTGCATAACTTGGCATGTACCATGTCAAGCTCCCGGAAATTGAAGTTTGATCATGCATGCAAGCTTGGTTTTGTTGAGTTTTGGCACCATTTGCATCTTTGAAATGGAAATGAAGTCAAGATGGAATAATTAAAGATATGAGCTTGAATGCAAGAATTTGTTATATGGGTGATGAGTTTGTCATGTTTTGGGACATGCATGTAGGTAAATCAAGAAATTGAACTTCATAATGCTATAATCTTGCAAAGGAACCATGTTAGTATGATTATATTTGAGATTTGAGCCTTTGCATGCAAGAATGGTAGCTGGGAAATTGAATTGAAGCTCAAGAACACAATCTGGAATTTCCAGAATTTTGACTTCCGCTCGAGCGGGGGAATGCCATTCGAGCGGATAAATCGAGCTCCCAGCATTTTTCTTGCAGACATGGTTCCCGCTCGAGCGGGGGAATTTGACGCTCGAGCGGGGAGCTATGTAGACAGGCAGTACGCTCGAG